TAGCGTTAACGAAGATTCTTATAACGAAGTCCTGATCGGCTGGATCGGCAACTTCGTTATATCGAGGTGTAACTGTATTTATATTGTAGGCTGGGAAGATAGCTCGTGGGTTATCATGGAAATAAGTATAACGATAATGATGCCATTTCATATGGACCAAAATTTATGACTGGTGATACTATTGGATGCTGTTTAAACTTTAGAAATAGCACGATATTTTATACCAGAAATGGAGTGAATCTAGGTAACTATTATTTTACTACAAATTTTTGGTTATTTTAAATCAAATAATAGGCATTTAACATCTATTGTATATTTAAGATATTGCATTCCAAGATATAAGAGATTCTTTGTATCCTTGTGTTAGGATGATGTCACCAGGTGGATCTATAGGAGCAAACTTTGGCTATAGAGAGTTGGTATGATTATTTAATCTCTATTTTTCTTTATGTATTTCTTAAAAATGATCATTTTCTTAGTGATGAATGATGATGATATTGATGAATCTTTAAAGAATAATTGGGCAGAAATACTTAATCCATACAATGATAAATTAATAAATTTACAGATTAATAAATTTTCAGATTTAGTACAATCATCAGAAACTGAACAAAATATTAAGCTACTAAAATACTGAGTAAAATTGTATTTTGTTATTGATGAATATAAGCAAGCATTTGCAGATTTGATAAAGTTGCTAGAATTTGAGACAAATAATACATTTACATTAAGATATCAAGAAGAAATTTATTGTATAAAGGAAATATAAATACATGTTATATTATTAAATATATCTATAATTTATTAATAATATCAAATTTTTATTTACTAAAAATTTAATTATTAAAATTTATCAAATTTGAAATATAGAAAAACATCTCAAAGCATATTGAAGGTAATTATAATTTTTATTAAATTTTATTATATTTAATAATTGTATTTGATTTTTATTCATTAAAATTTGAAACATAGAATGCATTTTAAGATATTTTAAAGGTAAATATATAATATTTATATAAATTTGTAAAATTATAATATTAAATATTATTAAAATATTGAAATAATAAATTAGATATTATAATTTAATAATTTGATTGATTTTTGTTACTAAATATTAAATTTACCAATTTATAATATAAAATCCACTTTGAGTAATAAAGGTAAATATAATAAATTATAATTATAATTTTTTTACAATTTTTAATTTTTTACTCTTTAAAAATTTAAAACATTAAATTTTTATCAAATTAGAATTTAATTTAAATAATAAAGGTAAATATAATTATAATTTATAAAATACACAAACTTTTAAATATTAAATATTATTGTCCAGAGCAAAGCGTAAGACAATATACTTTTAGGAATTAGAGTGAAAAATTGCATTGTCATGTGAGAATTTCGTCTGTTCTACTGCGTTACGTAAGATCAGATCAAAATAATCAACAAAAAACCAAGTAAGGTAACTTGTGTAGCTTGTGACGCTAAACAAGATCAGTACGAGAAAAAAAAAATAATACATTGTTACGTTGGGTTTTGTAGCTTCAAATAAAATCTCTAAGGGTAAATAAAACTAAGACAATTACTCAAGGAATCACGGGTGAGGATTCACAAT